CACACACACACACACACACACACACACACACACACACACACACACACACACACACACACACACACACAGAGGAGGGCACGCACACGCCAACAGTGTTCTCAGATGTTCATTCAATCCCTCACTGAATATTTGGCTCGAGGGGTATTTGAGTACCCTTCATTTCTCTTATTGCCGTTCTTGTTAGGTGTCTGAAGCTGGAGTGCCGGATCGTGTCATTGAATTGAATGAAGTCTAGTTCCTCACGTGTACGGCCGGAAGTGGTTGAGCAGGTGTGCACAATAGCTGTCACTTAGAGAGCCATGGACAAGCTGTCGAGGTCCAACCTCTGATTACTCCGTGAAGTTCAACATAGAGGTCATGCTACTCTGTGAAACAGTGCTGACTGGACTACAGTGCACATACAAATACAAGTGGCCCTACACATTCTCACTAGTGATTGAATCCAAGGAGACCGATTGCCGTCTGCGAACATCGTCTCTCTGCAAATAAGGCTCTCATGCCGCCGCCGCATGCTGCTGCTGTCTCCCCCCACCTTAACAGGAGTAGGCTCTTGTTTTGGGAGATTTGATTCGAATAATTTGGAAAAAAAAATGCCTTCAAAGTTTAAACTTTTATTGAAGTTTATTCCTCCAAAAAAATGAACCTCGAAAAGAACTTGCAGAGAATCAGAGAATTTTCAGAGAACTTTCAGAGAATTTTCAGTCAAATGGCGAGTCCAAACACAGTGACAATGCAGTACATGGTCTTGTTCTCCCAGCGAATAGTGCGGCTACCATCTGTGAGATTGTCCCAATAACAGGAGCTGGCAGTATGCAAACCAGCACCATTCTTCTGCATAATGACACAGGTCACAACATACTTGAATGGCTTGCTGAGCGCAGCCAACTGCTTGATGCATCCTTCCACCACAGAGGACGTCCACTGCCCCACCTTGGCGTGGTTGTATGTCGCATTCAACAAGGTACTATCTATCGACTCCTTGATTGCATTGTTCACATCGTCTGCCACAAATGCTGCCTCCTCAGAGTACTGCAGCTCTTCCATGTTTTGGGCCTCTAATTCACCTCCCTTCTTTCCCTCTCCCTCTCCCTTTCCCTCTCCCTCTCCCTTCTTCCCCTTTCCCTCTCCCTCTCCTTCCTCTTCGGCTGTGGCCCCTGCCTACCCGCAAAAAAATCTTACCGATTAGGCCCTTCCCGTCCCTCCCCCTCCCCTGGGTGTGTCGCTCACCTTCCCTGGGTGTGTCGCTCCCTTCTCCCCTGGGTGTGTCGCACTCTACGCTCCCCCTTTATGCCTTTCTCCTTCTCATTCTTATCCCCCATGTATCTCCCCCTGGGTGTGTCGCTCCCTCCCCTGGGTGTGTCGCATTCTACGCTCCCCCTTTATGCCTTTCTCCTTCTCATTCTTATCACCCACTTATCTCCCCCTGGGTGTGTCGCTCCCTCCTCCCCTGGTGTGTCGCTCCCTCCTCCCCTGGGTGTGTCGCTCCCTCCTCCCCTGGGTGTGTCGCACTCTACGCTCCCCCTTTATGCCTTTCTCCTTCTCATTCTTATCCCCCATTTATCTCATCCACACCCTCGGCGATTTGTTGACTCTTCGTCTCTGCCTGTGTCTGTGTCTTACCTCACAGCCCAGGTCCGTTCCCCTCCCCCCTCCCTCCATTGGACGGCCCACTCGCTGTCGTTGACGTTGCCGCCATCGCTCTCAGGTCTTGCATCCTCATGAGGCAGTCGCCATGGCTGCATGCCGTCGCCAAGCCAACGTATGCCATGATGAGGGTGCATCGTGCTCGGGAAGACGGCAAGGTTCAGATTGCAAATTTGACACAGCGGCCAGGTTCAGATTGCAAACTACCACGATTCATGTCAATACCCCATGAAGGTTTCGATCTGTCGTCGTTCGGGGAACCTGCAAGGCTCTTTTCTGAACAGCAAGGGCATCATCCATCACACCTTCGAAAGTGGACTTGTCATAAGTTCCGTCCATCTGCTCATCAGCCAACAAATGAACCAATCAATCAATCAATCAATCAACCAATCAATCAACCAATCAATCAACCAATCAATCAATCAATCAATCAATCAATCAATCACCTATCAATCAATCAATCACCTATCAATCAATCAATCTTTTACCAGTCAATCAATTAACCAAGTAATCAATCAATTAATCAATCAATCACCAATCAATCAATCAATCAATAACCAGTCAATCAATTAACCAGTTAATCAATCAATCAATCAATCAATCAATCAATCAATTAACCAGTTAATCAATCAACCATTTGTTGTCCCTGTATCTTAACTAAAAATATAGCCACCGATAAAGGGATAAACAGCCCACCCGTTGAGATAAAGTGACGTGCCTACTCTCCCGTGTTTTTTTTCGTTGATTGATTGATTGATTGATTGATTGATTGATTGATTGGTTCACACCCTCACATTCTCCTCTTTGCTCAAGGCGCAGCCAGCACCTCCTCCGTGCTTCCCTTTCCCGCTTGCTTTCGCTGTTTAGTCCGGCGACAGCATTTTCAGCCCATGGGCGGGGCTGCGCTCATATAGCTGACTCCATCGTCTTGTCCATGTCTTCTTCCTCCTACCTCCTCCTCCATGTTTTCATGTGACCACTGCAATGTTGCACGGCTCAGGTGTGTGATCGTGTGTTATTAGATGGTTTCTGCGCTTTTTGTGAACCGGGGGAAGCAAAGCATACAAGCTGCTTTCCCTCTGTGTTGGGAGGAAGTGGCCGGTTTCTTTTTTTTTTTTTTTTCCTACCTGCTTGCTGTGCACGAGTTGAGATGTGTGAGACGTGGTGTTCTCCAATCTACAGCGTTGTGGGGGAGAGAGACGTGCGAAAATTTTCGCCCTCCTCCCTCCTCCCGCTCCTCCTCCCGCTGCTTCTCCCGCTCCTCCTCCCGCTTCTCCTCCTCCTCCCTCCTCCCGCTCCTCCTCCCGCTCCTCCCGCTCCTTCTCCCGCTCATTCTCCCCCTCGGACTGAAGTATAGCACTGTGATGGTAGAGAGAGACGTGCGAAAAATTTTCGTTTTGCCTTTCTTGTCGCAGGAAGAAGGAGGGGGAGAATGAGCGGGAGAAGGAGCGGGAGGAGCGGGAGGAGGAGCGGGAGAAGCAGCGGGAGGAGGAGGAGCAGGAGGAGCGGGAGAAGGAACGGGAGGAGTAGTGGGATAAGGAAGAGGAGCGGAAGAAGGAGTGGGAGGAGGAGCGGGAGAAGGAGCGGGAGGGGAGGGGGAGAGGGAGAAGGAGCGGCGGAGAACGGGAAGGGGGTTTAACGAATGCGCGGGTGGTGAGTAGGGGAGGGAGGAAAGGGGGGGCGGGGGG